CAACAGCACCATTACCTTGTTCCAGCCGGTGAGGGCTGTGCTACTCCTTGCACGTTGCACCTCCTGCAAAGTTGCAAGTTCCATGTACCTCCCTCTATGGTAGAGATTTCCAGCCCCACCATGAGCTGCTTGGCCGGTCCCATATTTCAGAGCTCTAGTCACTGGACTGGCCCATTGGACATCCTGGAGCAGCTCCGCCACCGGGTGCACTGTGGACCACCAAAATTTTCTCACGGACCACCAGTTGGTGACCTATGATCTAGAGAAAAGAAGTGGGGGCATAACAGCAGCATTCCAATATTTAGGCAGCTGCCCCAAAGAAGAGGATGTCCACTTATTGTCCAAAACACCAGAAGGCATGAGAAGAAACAACAGATGGAAACATTTCAAAACCTCTCAAGTAAAAATCAGGACACCATGAACAATAAAAAGCATGTTTATTTAAAATAAAATCCTTTTGCAAAAGAGTTCTCTCCCTGAGGAGAGAGCAAAGTATAGGTTCAAATACATGGTTTAAATACATTTTCAACAAAGAAGAAAAACAACTCAACGCCCCTACTTCTCATTGGCTATCTGACGTTAGATATGTTTTTGGCTATTCCGCAGCAATTCCCCGAACCAGAAATCCCCCTGGAAATACCCTTGCCACATTTCTTCATAACAATACTATCAATCCTAACATGACAGCTTCTTTCCTGCCAATGTTAAACTGACCTGACCTGGAATGTACTAATCAATTTATAGCTTTGTTTTTCTCAGAAACAGCTTCTTAAACGACGCCTTATCTTAATGTCTCACAAATTTGATTTGATTTTGATTTGATTTTATTTGTCTTGTATGCCGCCCACTCCTGAAGGACTCCGGGCGGCTCACAATAGACAAGGGAAAGGGGGAAAACTAGACAAAGACAACACTTTAAAGCCCAAAAGGTATGCTGCTAAGTGAGAAAACTGTTAAGTGAGTTTTTGCCCCATTTTACGACTTTTCTTGCCACCTTTGTTCAGTGAATCACTGCAGCTGTTGAGTTAGTAACACGGTTGTTAAGGGAATCTGGCTGACTTC